TATGGAATTTGTTGAACGAATCACACTCTCAATAGTCTCCAACAATTTGTTACCTAAATATTGGATTTTGTTACCTAATTACCATGATTTCTCTCATATTTAAAATGATTCTGAATTTGTTACCTAATGACGCTGATCTATCTCATATTTATCTCTTAATAAAAAAATTAATAAGTTCAGAAAACTGCTAGCAATAAGAATTAATAACAATTTGTTGAAAACTAGCAATAAAGTCATGATAACTATTCAAATATCCATACCACGAAGATAACTATTCAAATAACTATTCAAATAATATATTTAGTTTAAAATACCTTTTATTGTTACAAAATAATATCTACAAACCTTTGAACAAATCAACGTATAGTTTTGAACTCAATTACTAATTTAAATCATATACCAATAGTTTAATGATTCTTAGAATCCATAATATTCGAAATTCTAATGGTTATTACATGTACATATCTATAAAATATATAACTAATTGCATTATAATCAAACGACTCATTGGAATGTTTGTTACTAGGAATATATAACTAATCGGATGAATTCCACATTTTACAAAATATTAAGTTGTTAAAAGTATAAATGTACAAACCAAGTAACTAATCAAACAACATATACTATATACTTGGCTTAAAATCAAATTGCATGTTATAGGCACAACTAAATTGTTAAAATAGTATTACATTAAAGCTTTTATAATTTCCTTTGGGACAATAATTGTTAATACGCTATATATTTTGTGTGGATATATTATATGGGTGTTCCAAATAAACATTTGAATTCAGTTTCTAATTTAAATCTTATACCAATATTTTAATGATTCTTACAATCCATACTATCCAAAATTCTAGTGGTTGTTACAAGTACATATCTATTAAATATATAACTAATCAGAATATAATCAAACAAAAATGTAATGGTTGTTACTACGAATATAATCAAATGAAAATATAATTTAGTTTAATGCTATATTCCCGTTCCGAAATCATCACGTCGGGTGTTTTAACCATTAGATCATCTATCTTATACTAACTACTTGTGTATCCAAACGTTATAACTTCCGACGGGAAGGTTGGGACCGTAGTTTTCCTTTAGTATAATTACGAAAATTAAACAAGTCATTGTGTGACAATAATATATCGAGCCAAATATTATTCCAAATTTTTTAAACATTTTAGACTCCACAATGTACAAAATATTTTGTTGTTAAAAAATATAAATTTAAAACCAAGTAACTTATCAAACAATCGATACTATATATTTGGCTTAAAATTGAATTGCATGTGAAAAGCAGAAACATTTTGTTAAAAGAGTTACATTAAAACTCTTATAATTTCCTATGGGATGATG